CAGTCTGTGCAATCCGTCTCCAAACCTGCAAGAGCAGTCCTGGCTGCGAGGGCAGCGCAGGGTGCCAGGAGGGAGGAAGATGTCAGAGGACCACGGCGGCGGCGGGGAGGATCGGCAGGAATCCCCGGTGGGAATTGCAGGCAGCAGAACGGCACGGCTAAAGATGGGCAAAATATGGATTTCGGAGAAGTCCTGCTTCATCCTCTTTCCAAGCACAGCAAAAGCAGCCTCAACCCAAACTCACCTTCTTTTCAAAGGGAAAACTGAGCCGTTTGGGGAATTCCCCTCTTGGGAGAATGCTGCTTTGCCCGCTTTGTTTCTTTCTCCCGTGTTGGCCACCCCCAAAACACGCACCCTGCTTTCCCAGGGCTGTTTCCTGAAGCCAGCTTTCCATAGCTGACAACAGGTCAAATAACAACACATTTGTTTTTTGCATTTAACCTCAAGTGCATTTGAAATCCTTATTCAAAGGTGGCCTCCAAAAAATAAAAATAATAAGAAAAAACATGCATTTCTTCCAATTTTTTTAAAAAATTATTGTGGGTAAATAGTTTCATGTCCAATGTCCCTTCCTTTCCCTTTCAAAACAAAACAGACCAGAAATTGAGATTATTTTTTCTCTCTGCTTCCCCCCTACCAAGCCTGTAGTCAGGTGGAGGACTGGCAGAATAACAGTTTAAAATACACCATGCAGATGAAAAGTAATTGAGAAGCAATTTCTTTCCAGATAGTTTTAAAGAACCATTTGTTTCTTTCTTTTTACTTGGCTGTGTTTAATTCCAGTGCTGGAGAATGAAGTCTAAGAAGTAAATTGCTCTTCTTGCAAAAACCTCTGCAAGACCTTCAAGCAGGTCAGCAAGAAGAAAGGGTGGAATTGGCACTCGTGAGATCCCAGACAGACAAAAAGCCAACCAGAAAAAAGCTCCCCAATGTCCATGCCTTTTCAGGCACCAACAGACAGTGAATTAAGGAATACGCCCTTTTCCTCCCTGATTTGCATACAACTTTCACCTCTAACAACATTTAGCAGAGCACTAAGGAAAAAACTGAAGCAGGACCTTTGGATTTGGGGCTTAAACATGTTCCCTGAGAATAAAACCAGACAAAGGTGTAGCAGAGGGGGACAGAGGAGGTTCTGCCTGTCCCCTTCGCACCCTCAGCTTGATAGAAAAGGCTTTCTCTTGTCACATGGTGAAGGGGGAAAGGTTCTGCTGCAGACTCCCCATTCATGATCACAGCTACATCCTCTTCTCATTAAAACAATCCGCAATCACTAATTTGCAAAGATCAATTCCTCCCATATAAGTTCCAGAGACAAGGGGGTAACTGGTTTGCTGTCTTCCACACCAAGAGATTAAGCGAACTAATCAAAGCAAATTCAGCTTCTCTTTCGAGGAGACAGAATATTTGCTCCTGTTTAACTCCTCCCGTTCTGCCACGGGTTTTGCAATAAAGCAATTCCTTCCAGCATCCTCAGCCTGTGCTTACACTACACAGGAAACTCCAGTAAAATCAGCCCCACAGAGTCAGGGGCATGGGAACACACAGCTTCTCCTCCACTGCATTCAGCAGCAGCCAAGTAGTTAAGCAGGCATAATTTGTCTCTTTTCCAGTATTAACAAGCATGTCCCCATCCTACATTTGGCTGCCTTTCTCCGCAGTTCCTCCCCTTGCATCTGATTACAGCAACCCAACCAGTTGGACCGGATTCCCCTTTTCGAGGTGCTGCACCTTCTCTATCCGCAGCAGCTAGGAACGGGTTTTTCCCCCCTTTTCTGTGCCTTTCCCAAAGCCCCGGTGAACAATGTCTCCCCAGGGACTGTATGACATAAGGCCACGCTGGCAGTGCAGAGTGCTCGGTCCCCGCTTCGGCGATCAGTTTACAATGAATCCCTGAGTGCACACACACAAATAACGCAGCCTGACACTAAGGGGAGAGCCCAGGACCTCAGTGCCAAAGTACAGAGGCTCTGCTGCTAAACTCAGAGGCCCCTCGCCCTGCTGTAGGAGACAGGTTGTTTTACTGACTCGAACCAGCCACCGAAACGGGACGTAATGTCATCTCCAAACCAGGACATTGACGTGAGCTCACAGGGTTACCATCACACGCCGGCATCCCTGCGCTCCCCAAAGGTGGGACGGAATTCTCTAGTCAACGAGGCCCTTTGGCAGAATGGCTTGCAAGTAGATGGAGGTGATTCACCCGGGAAGAAGCAATTTCGCCCTCCCTCCCCAGCTATCTTCTCCCAGTCCTGATGAAGGGATTTGTTGGAGACCTGGGGCCTGGGTGAGAAAAGAAGGGGTGAAGCAGACAGGCACCTGATATCCGTCAGATACACTAATCTGCCCAACGAAATCCTAAACTTCTCTGCTGCCAAGCAGCTCCGTGTCAGCAATTAGCAACTAGCCCCCAGGATCTGTTTGGTTTTGCTTTCACCACCGTAGCTAAACAACTGAGCCTGAAGTTTTGCAAGAGGAGACTCCTGGGAAAAGTGTTGAGGAAGACAAGCTGGCAGCCTGGTGACAAGAAGCACCCCCGAGCAGGAGCCATTGCTTCTTGGGACCTAGCGTGGGGTCAGCTCCTGGGTGAAGAGGTGTCTATAGGTGGGGGTCTGCAGTCAGTAGAGACGGGGTTCAGCTGCCCAAACGCCAGTGCCCTGTGTCGTGGGGTATCCCGCAAAGCCTAGAGCTGCCACTCCAAGGGTGACAGTTGTCTGCCTCATACCCGCCGTGATATGAGAGACCAAGAGGTAGATAACACGAATGTCCACACTATCACACTCTCACCCTTCAAAACAAGGTGGTTGGATCCAAACCGTGTCTTTGGCACGGTTCCTGGCCCAGGCTAATGTCCAAATTGTGTCTGAACAATGTCTGGAAGAGTGCTACCGGCCCAGGCCAAAATCGTGCCAGGGAGCATGCTAACAATGTCACAGTGCGGATGAGCAAGTTCCAGTCCCTGGGAATACTCAGATGTGCTGTATAAATTACCAGCAGAAGATGTAGCCCACAGGGTGAGCTGAATCACTGTCTGGGCTCCCCTGACTTGTCTACATCTCATTTGGCTACAACGGAAGCCGAGACGCTCAGATCACCTCGAGACACTGAGGCTTAAGTGTCTTAATCTACAAGTTCAACCCCAGCTTCATTGTCAACTTCTTAACCTGGGTGTCAGCATGATAGCGCTGAGCATTAAGGCAGAGCAAAATGCTTTTATGTTTTTTTAAATTAATGGGAGGAATTTTTGGCTTGCAGAACACAGCAGAAAGGGAGGCTGAGAGGCAGCACGTCAAGGCATCTGCCCTGGGTGCAATACAGAATAAAAGCAACTATAATAAAATATAGAAATGAACAGAGAGATGTTAACCCTTTCACAGTTTATCCATCAAAAGGGTTTCAACTGAAAGACAGCAGCACAATTTCTCTTTTACATATCTATCTGAATAGTATTTGGGCAAAGGACTTGGTGTGAAGGAAATTCATCGCCAACGCCTCCAGCGGGACCAAAGCATACAAATACTCAAATACTCTCACACGTGGGAACAGCCATGTAAGACAGGCAGTCTGCTGCCACTACACACCACCACTACTTCCACTCCGTGTAGCAATAATACTCTGCGGAGCTGAGTGCAATCTGAGACAGACAAAAAGTTGTAGAGGGTCCCATCGTGCATCTTGGGTACTGCAGGTGACAGCACAGCCAGTCCCATGCCCTTTGGGGCTGCCCAGCAGTGCGGAAACAGCGAATGAAATCCCTTCAGGTTGGCTAGTTCATGGGTTCTCAACCTGTGTTTTATGGACCACAACCGCCTGGGAGACATCAAAGATGTTCTGTAGCACAATTGCAAAAAAATAACTAAAGGAAAATGCTCGTACGTAGTCCCTAAATGCTTGCAAATGAAATCAGGAAGAATAAAAGAAACAATGAGCTTCCAAAGTTTCATCTGATCTTTATCTGGCTGTAAAGGAAAACCGCTGTGGAAGTGCCGCACAAGGCAACCTGTTCTGCTTTCCCAGAAGGTTGGATGGTCCTTCAATGTAAAAAAGGTTGAGAAACACTGAGCTAGTTCATAGAATCATTGAATCATAAGGTTGGTGGAAGACCCCTAAGATCATCAAGTCCAATCATCAACCCAACACCAACATTCCTGACCAGTGTTAATCTAACTTGTTCTCAAAAGACTCCGGCAGTGGAGAATCCACCCCTAACCCCTAGGCAAGCTATGCCAGCAGTGAATTACCTGTGGCATTGGATGTTGCTGGTGTCTAAATGGTGTCTCCATCACCGCAATTCAAGCCCGTGATTTCTTGTCCTATCCAAGGTGAACACAGAGAGCAGATCATTGCCTTCCTCGTTTCGGACACCTTTTGTGTGTCATTGGGAAGATGTTGGACTTGATGGTCTTAGAGGTCTCTTCCAACCTAATGATTCCATGTTATTACATCTTTTCTCCATCTTCCCTGCAGTAAAGGGATTGTTTCCGTATTTTCTGGACCTGAGACTGTTCTCACATATGACTTGTTCATTTCACCTATTGGTCCCCAGCTTTCTCAAAATGCAGCGACCAGAACTGGACATGGCTCTGCCTTTCAGACAGCCCTTTGGGACATTTCCCTTTGTTACAATTATAAGAGACTGTCGACTTGCATTTAGTTTGTGATCCACCATAATTCCAAGCAATTTTCTATGCAGAACTGCTGCATTTCTCAGATCTGCAGTTTTTGCAAATGTCATTCCTACATGCAGCACTTTTCACTTTTCAAACTGTGGATCATTTCATCCTGATTTTTAATCTCCAAAGTTCATGAAATCCCTCCAAGCCTGGTATCAGCTGCAGATGAGTACGTTCCTTTCCATTCCATCATCCAGGTATTACTGAAAACGCTTAACAGTTCTGGACTTAGGACAGACTTCAGCCTTCCAGTTTCATAACAAAGCATTTACAACTACACTGAATATGGGTTCCCAGCCATACAACCCCCCTTCAGCAGTTTCATCTAGTCTGTACTTCCCGAGAGCACTTTGAGAAGGTCATGGGAATCGATGTAAAAACTCCTGCCCAGGGCACGGTGATTTCTTGACACAGTTTCTCTCCAGCTCAGAGTGCTCTAGGCTTTGCATACCAGATATACAACGCCACAGGCTTTGAAGGGAGTTAAGAGCAGCTTTTGTGCTTTCTGCACCCTTTTCATTGGTATGATGGATGACAGAAGCACAAGGAGAATTAGCTCTGAAGGAGTGTGATGAGAACTACTGATCTAGTGTCACATGAAGGGTCAGAAATTTAACCTTTCAGAAGACGATTCAGCACTCTTGTGTGTGTTTGGACGGAGGTTTTTCTCCTCAATTTTGGCTCTTTCAGTGGGGGTTCTAATGAAAACATTTTTGCCCTTTTCCCAGAATATCCCATGGGCATTTTAAACTTTGCAAGAGGCAGGTTTTAGGTCTGCCAGTTACTGCCTGTCATGCTAAAAGGTATTATTTGAACAATAATCATTCCATTATTTTGCTTTCTTGGTTTCCGTTAAATTCCTTATTATCAAAATGCAGGCAGGTCAACAAGTTATGGAAAGCATATTTCCTATAAAGACAGATAATCCTTATGAGCTTAAAAATCAAAATACTTGTCCGTAAAGACCTATTAGGCACAAAGAATAAGCGTCATAGTTCAAATAAAGTCACTGTGCAAATCAAAGAGTGCTGGTGAGGAGCATCATCTCTATATTTAAGTTTAGCTTGCGTATCTCACGTGACCACGTAACTGGTTCTTTGGTTCCAGTTACAGGGAGTGCACAGGACTCAACTACACAAGCCACAGTAATCCGTTCACCTGAATTCACTCCTTTATTGCAATAAATTCCCCAGTTTGCACAGGAGGCTGAGCAGATTACAGCTGCTTTCCCACAGTGGCCTGTAAATGGATTTTGCCATGTAAAAGAGAAAGCACAACGTCGTAATTAAGGGGTGAGCTTAGGACTAGGGCGAATCTTTTGCCGTTGCATGCTCTGCCATCAGCTCCCTGGGCAGCTCAAGTAGAGTTGTATTCCTTTCCACCAGCCAGCAGTGACCCCCTTCACAGGCTATGGAAAGAAACAGGCATCTCTAGAGGGCTGGTCTTTCATCCTGCATTAAGTGAGATGAATTACCCTCTGGACACACTGCTTCCTCTCGGTTGACTCTACAAGGAGCCTGTGAGGACCAGACCAGCCAGGCTTAAATATTATGTTTCAGACATACCCACGCGGCCAGAGAAACCCCATCCCGAATGCCTAACTTGCAGTCATGTGGGGCTGGGGCAGACAAATCCTGTCTCATGTCTCCCTGTGCCTCGTTTTTTCATCTGCAAAACAGTGTGACAGCACTTCCCTGTCTCCTGTTGGAGCTGTGAAGATAATGACCGTAAGAACCTGTGAGGCGCTCAATGATTACAGCGTTAGGAGCCATACGTGTGCACTTGGTAGATAACATGTAATTTATGACGGGTTTCAAAGACCTGCTAGCAGGCAATGGCAATACCTAACCATCCAGGATCTTCTTTGAAGACATCACAGACATTTCTCAGGGTGTCTTATCCCATTTCAGATCAATCTGATGACGGGATGTGATTTCCCAAGTTCAGAGCTTACGGACACTGAAGGAATTTACACCTTTACCTTCGTCAAAAGCAGAGCAGTTACAGCTCACTTTCACATCAGCAAGATGAACCCCTTTTTCAAAATAGGATAGGTTTTACATTCCCATTATAGCAATCTCTTGATTTGTTCAGAAATCTAGCTGTATTGAAATATATATTTAAAGAGAAAAGTTTACCCATTTCCCAAGCAGGGCTCTTCTTTCCTCGAATACCTGTAAAACATACACACAAAACCAAAATTGAATATTTAAAGGGGATTCAATATGTCCTAAGGAAAATACAGCTTGAAAAACAATCCACAAAATATAAACAGAATCACTGCATCTAAGACTTTGGAAGAAACCTGTGGAGATAATTTAGTCCAAACTCCCTGCTAGGGTCAACTAAGGCAGGTTGCTCAGGGCCACGTCCAGATAGGTTTTGAGTATCTTCTTAGATGGAGACTCCACAACCTCTGTGGCAACTTGTTACAGTGTGCGACCACCCTCACGGTAAGAACATTTTTCTTACGTTTAAACGGAATTTCCTGTATTTCAATTTGTGGCTGTCACCTCTGGTCTTTTCACTGGATGCCACCAGGAAGAGTTTCTTTACCCCTTCCCATCAGATATCTATGCACATTGATAAGGTCCTCCACGAGCCTCTCTTCTCTAGGCTGAACAACCTCACATCTCTCAACCCTTCCCTATGCATCAGACTCTCCAATTCCTTAATAATTTTTGTGGCCCTACGCTGGCTTTGGTCCAGTAAGTTCATGTCTTTCCTGTACTGGGGAGCCCAGACATGGACACAGGATTCCAGATCTGCCCTCACCAGTGCTGAGTAGAGGAGAAGGATCACCTCCCTTGACCTGCCACCTGCACTCTTTGTAATGTTGCCCAGGATGATGGTGGCCTTTGGTGGCTTGTGGTCAACTTGGTATTCACCAGGACTCCTAAGTCATTCTCTCCCAAGCTGCTTTCCAGCCAGTCCATTTCTCCAGCCTGTCAAGGTCCCTCTTAATCAATGGAACAAACTGCTCAGGGACGTGGTAGAGTCCCTGTTGTTGGAGGTTTTCAAGACACAACCGGTCAGGAGGCTAGGTAATCTCATTTAGGCTCCCATTCCCACAAAAGTTGGACCAGATGATCTTTTGAGGTTCCTTCCAACCTGGGCTGTTCTATGATTCTGATTTATGAGAGCACAAAGATCCGGTCTATCAACTACTCCTCCCAATTCTGTATCGTCTACCACACTTGCTGAGGGGGCAATCTGCCCCATCATCCAACTTGTTATTGAAGATTTTAAAGGATCCTGGCCCCAGTGTCCACCCCTGGCGTACTCAACCAGTGACTGGCCTCCAGCTGAACTTTGTGCTGCTGATCACAATCCTTTGAGGCCAGTAAGTCAGTCAGTTTTCAATCCACCTTACTCTCCATTTGTACTTCATCAGCTTGTCTATGAGGATGTTATGGTAGACAGTACTGAAAGCCTGACTGAAGTCTGAAGATCAATCCGTTTCCTTGGACCTCTCTTCTCTCCAGGACCACATCCCGTGTGATCCTTCCACATAGATCCCCGAAGAGGTCAATGTCTGCTCTCCTGAAGTCCATCATTGTGAATCTGCTGTTTGTCTTGCCCTGTCCTCTCAGTATCCTGTACTCCATCATCTCTGAGTCACTGCTGCCAACATTGTCCCTGACCTTCACATCCCCAACCAGCCCTTCCTTCTTTGTAAGTATGAAGTCCAGCAAAGCATCTTCCCTTTTTGGTTCCTTGATGACCTGTGTCAGGAAGTTTTATCATCAGGGCACTGCTGCAACCTCCTGGCTTGCATGTGCCCTGTTGTGTTGCCCTTCCAGCAGGTATCAGGGTGTTCCCCATGAAGACCAAGGCCTGTGAACATAAGGCTTCTTCCAGCTGCCTGAGGAAGGCCTCACCTACTTCCTCCTGACCTCCTTCAACTCTACAGGCTGGTTCCTGTGGAAGGTTCCTTTCACTGAAGAAGACTCCCTAAAGTTCAAGGGCTATGCATGCTCAACCGTGAAGGACAGCTCTGCAGACTGGCTGCAATGTGCTACCTCTCATCCCCAGCTCCCTTCTTTGCAGCTGCTGCACGCACGATGTGCCAACATATCGCTCTGCTCTCTTGGGCATGCAGTGATGCGTGGTGTCTCACATGCTTTGGTGAGACCAGAAGCTGGGCTTCCCACCTATTTATTTGAGAAATTTCAGTTCTGCCTTGAGTTGGAGAGGTTGGGTGCCTGAAATCTCCTGGAATGGATACAGCATGGGTAGCTATCACACAGCCCTGGTGATGGCTTCAATCTTAACACAGCAAAACCATTAGGAGTAAGAAAGTAAGACCAGTCTTCGTTCCTGGCCACTTTACAGTGACAGCTAACAAGAAGGGTGATCAGTATCAAAATACAGCAGAGGATTTATGATGTTGACCTTTATCCATAGGGAGCTAGCCCTGAAAGCACTAGCACGTGGCTTCCCACTACCACAAAACTGTCTTCTATACTCAGGATTGTGACCTGGGAAGTGAGGAAATGCTGTAGATGATTTTTCCAGAAGACAGATCAAAGATGAAAAAGACCAGCTTATAACTGCACATAAACCCAGCTATTAACCACAACTAGGAAAACATGCTTGATCATTATAAGCTCCAAACATGTTACTGCTATGACAGCCTGCAAAGAAGGTTCCTGCAGAGAGAGACATTATCAGTGCTGATGTCTGGTACAGCAGTTGACAGCGTTAGCTCCGTCTCTCTCAGCAGGAGCGTCTCTTGCGAGGGGTAGAAAATGACATTTCTTTTATTTGTATGTTGACAGTTGTTATTTGTTTTATTTGCATGTGGGGCACTTGGCAAAGTAAAATAAAACAGCCTAACAAGCTGAACTTGGAAAAGGATTTGCCACAAGCAAGTGATGAATAGTCAAAGATCTAAGTTTTGGGTTGGAGAATTCAAGTGAAGCAGGGAGCTATTTATATAACTGAAAGCAATGTTAATGGTCTTTGATCAAAGAAAGACACATACTTGCTTTCAGCATTCTTGGAGATACATCTGAGCCAACTCTTTTGGAAAGTTCTGCCTCCTCCAGGCACTTGGAAGCATTAATTAGCAACAGAATGGCCCAAAATTGGTATAATCATCCACTGTCTTAATGAAGCCCATGTTTACTGTCCTCTCCTCCAAGGCCTTAGAGTTACACCTATGGTGTGCCTAAGATGGCTGGCCTTGCACGCAGCCTGAGGCCTGAGATCTGCCATGTCACATCCATGCCTTCAGGTGGTTTTAAGTAAGCTCAAGCTCAAGGCTGTCTGGCAAATCCCTCCACCCTTTGCTGCAGATGCCACTGGGGGCTCATTCTACCCCAGACCTGAATTACTGCCCAGCAGAAGGCGAATCACCTCCCGACCTCCAGTCCTTCCTTAAAGGCAGCAAAGCCCTGTGCTCAGCAGGACTGATGGTTTTGCTGCGGGCGAGCGGGCTGCCCTGTCTCCTACCTTTACTTCAGCCTTCACTGTAGCACAGCCTTGGCATATCTGAGACTCCACCTCTGGTTTTCTCACCATGAATGCTGCATAATTTGAGGTTTCCTACTTCTGGCTTTTTTGACTTTGGTCTGTCCCTGATGGTGATCCTGGCTTTTAAAACCATCATGACTGCCTATGTCCAGTACACCCTGGATAGTCATTTCCATTCTAACAGCTGCTGTAAGGGAAGAAACCCGTAGATGGAGGCAGCAGGACTCGGGATGCACAAAAGGCAGGAGAGAGCTGGGTCCTCCCAACAGTGCAGGCAAGTGTACTCTTGAGCATGTTTGAGAATTCAGGGAAATCTACGGGAACTACTAACAGAGTACCCCCAGGATTACCCCAAATCAGTCAGGTGGCAAATTTGTGCTACTAACTGTTCTTGGGTCTGCTCCCAGCAATGGTTTAGATGGAGCTTAAATGCTTCTGCCTTGGATCATCTCTGGATTCCCACCACTCCTGCCCCTCATTGCCTATTTCTTATGCATCTCTCCTCTCTACACTTTCACCTTCTCCCTGTTTTTCACACACCCTCTATCTATAAATTCTTTTCTCTCTTTGTGCTTTCTCCTAACTCAAGAGTGCAGAAATGAACAGAGATGTGATTGTATGAAAACGGTGCCTTCTCACTCCCTAGCTCCCTACATACATATCAGCTGGATTGTCTCCTCATTTCAGCCATCAGCAATATTTTTGTTGCAACTATTTTTTCTCCTGCGAACACCACAGAGCGGTATAGTGAGTTTCAGGCAGGTCAATGCTTTAAAACCTGGGTCAGAAACAAGCAAACACTTTTTATCACGAATTTCATCACTGAGCACAGGTCTGGGAGCTTATGGTATGTTCTTTCCTACCTGGAACATCAGTAAGTATACAACAATCCAACATGAGCTCCTAAACCTTTTGCTGCAGCCCAATGCAACATCAGACTGCCTAAGGAGCAGAGGAGTAAGAAGGGGGGAAAGGGTGGTTTTACCCACGTACTTATTTCTAGTTAGGTCATACTTTATTGCACAGCGATGTGCATCTGTAAAAATACGTTTTAAAGGTGTAGGAAACAGTCATTAAAGTGATTCAAAGGCTGGAGAATATGCCAGATTGAAAGGACTTCAAAGAGCTCAATCTGTTTAGTTTATCAAAAAAAGTTCAAGTGTTGGCTTGAAGCAGGGTAAAAGTCCTTCCACAAGGAAAAAATACTGATTACAGAAGAGTTTAATAAGCTAGCAGGGGAAGATTTAAACGATGGAAGCTAATGCTGGAGGTATTTAGACAGGAGACAAGACAAGGTTTCATCTTTTAATGGTATAGGGGCATAATCATGAGAAAATTATGAGGGAAGTGATGAAATTTTCATTTCTTGATATCCCCAAAGGAAGTCTGGATACCTTTGTGGAAGATGTATTTTGGCCAAATTCTAGTTACTGAGCTCAAGACTGTGAGAACTGTGTGAAACAAGAGGGCCCAAGAAATCCAGGAAGCCAGACTCCATGAGGTAATGGCCCTCTTGGATTAAATTCTATGAATCATCAACAGAAATTTAAACTGAATTCTGAGGGAGGAACATGCTCCTGGTGATACATGAGCCAACCCCCCCCCCCTCAGTTATGTTAGCAGATCCCAGATATAGCACACAGAGTGGGAGGTTAGGAAATGCATCTCGTTATTTATAAATTGAGTGCATCACTTCAGTTTCCAAAATACCAAGCTATCCTCATCACTGCCAGGCTTGGCAGAGAAGCCCCAGTGTGGGTACTAATGTCTATCTTCTGAGCTAAGATGGAGCACACCGGCCACTCAGAAACACTGACACTCACTTTGCTCTGGGGTTAAATTGAAGTCATCTGGTGCAGAAGAAAGAATGATTTGGCAACTGTCACTAAGAAAAGAATACACTTTTTTTGTTTAAAGACAACTGATTTGGCAAAGTAACAATACTTGAACAAAATACTTGTGTGCTTTAAACAGTGCACATTAGAACTTTCAGTTTTTACACAACATATTAGGGTTTATATAGATGTGTACATAATACAGACTGTATGTGTGTTTGATATATACATACCTAGAATCATAGAATTGTCTAGGTTGGAAAAGCCTTTAAGATCATTGTTGACCCAGCACTGCCAACTCCATCACTAACCATGTCCCCAAGCACAACATCAACACGTCTTTTAGATACCTCCAGGGATGGTGACTCCACCACCTCCCTGGGCAGCCTGTTCCAGTGCTCGACAGCCCTTTTAGTGAAGAAATTCTTCCTCATGTCCAAGCTAAACCTCCCCTGGTGCAACTTGAGGCCGTTTCCTCTCATCCTATCGCTTGTTCCTTGGGAGAACAGACCGACCCCCCCTCGCTCCAAGCCCCTCTCAGGCAGCTGCAGAGAGCGATCAGGTCTCCCCTCAGCCTCCTCTTCTCCAGGCTGAACACC